CTATCTATCTATCTATCTATCTATCTATCTATCTATCTATCTATCTATCTATCTATCTATCTATCTATCTATCTATCTATCTGATTCATGCCCTGCCTTATGTATGTTGCCTCAAGAACTCGAGGCAACATGCATAATATCTCTCTTCTCATTTTCCACCCAACAATAACTTGCTTAAGGTTTGATTAAGGAAGGGTGACTGGTCCAAATATACCTAGTCAGCGACCATTGCTGGGAGCCAGTTAGGTTCAGGTTTCACTCATACCAGCCCTGACATAACAATATTCTCTAAGATAAATGAAAAAAGTCAAATGAATAATTTATAATTGAGGACAAGATGTACAGGTAAGGAAAGGGATTGAAATGAGAGATTGAAAGTAAAATATAGAGAGACACATGGGGGAGATATTTTAGTAGGTCAGCGCACACTTGAAAATTATTTGGAAAAAGTAATTTGGATCTCATGCAAATACAGTACTTCTCTGCTATTTTTGAAAATAGCCAGACTATTTTCAAGTTTTCCAGTGAGCTTGGGGGGAAAATGGGGCCAGGGTGACGGGTACTTACATGTATGGTATTCAGCTTTGTTTGGGTATTTTCCCACGTCATTATACTTGTGCTTTTAAAGTTGTAGCAACGTTTCGGCAGAATCTCATCTGCCATCATTGGGCTGCTGTATTGTGTTTGTCTGCGAGTCAGGCTTTCACAGCCGTTTCTGTTTTAAATTTGGGGCTAGCCTACTGCTGTGCCAGAATGGTTTTTTCTTCATCCTGATTGGTTGGGAGTCTTGGTCTGTGTTTATTGGTCTTGGAGTTTGCTGTGTTCTGCTTGATTGGTGTTTCTAATATCTTCTGTCTGTTTTGTAACTTTTTTTGTCTTGATTGGCTGGCAACATTGTGTTTCCTGTATTGGAGGCTTTTAGTGTGGCTTGGCTCCGAGTAAACGGACGGCTATCATTTATTAGGAAGCTAGGTTTCATCTGGGTACCTGGTTGGGGTGTGTTTGAGCTGGAGGTATCAGGGAGGATCTGTTTGTGCCTAGGTGTTTGCCTGGCTTGTCGTGTGGAGATTTTTTTATTTGTGAGTGCAGGCTTCCAAATAATTGACAGTCTGGTGGAATCATCTCTTCTATTCATGCTTTCAGGTCTTTTTTTCAATCTCTATGGCTTCTCTGATAATTCTGTAGCTGGGGTTTTCTATAGTGGCTAGGGTTTTGGTGCCATTGAAGTCGATGCTATGACCTGTGGCTTTCATGTGTTGGACTAATGAGGAAGTGTGTTCCAGCTTTTTTACTGCATTTTTATGTTCATCCAGGCGGGTACTTATTCCTCCATTGGTCTGTCCAATGTATGTGGCAGGGCATGATGCACAGGGGACTTCATATATGCCTTGGTTTTCCAGGTCAATTTTATCTTTGGGGTTTCTTAGGATAGCTGCTATTTTTCTGTCTGTTTTGAAGGCAGTCTTGATGTGATGCCTGTGTAGTATCTTACTGATTTTGTCTGTAGTACCTCTTATGTAGGGCAGAACAGCTGTTCCGTAGGTCTGTTCATCTTCTAGGTCTCCATTATGTCTCAGTGTGTTTTTGTGGATCAGGCCTGTGATTTTGCTTTTATGGAAAACAGACAGAAATATAGCAGCCATCCTAAGAAACCCTAAAGATAAAATTGACCTGGAAAACCAAGACATATATGAAGTCCCCTGTGCATCATGCCCTGCCACATACATCAATACACAATTTAAAACAGAAACGGCTGTGAAAGCCTGACTCACAGACGAAAACAATACAGAAGCCTGATGATGGCAGATGAGATTCTGCCGAAACGTCGCTACAACTTTAAAAGCTATATATGACGTGGGAAAATACCCAAACAAAGCTGAATACCATACATATAGATACCCACGAAAACGTAAGAAAACACACACACACACACACACACACACACACACACACACACATAATATGTACAGTTAGCATCAGTTGCTTTCTACAACTGGAATCTCTATTTAAGATTTTATGACTTTATCCAGCATATCCTATTGAATTATGTCATCTCTGGTTTTAATCATATCATTTCCTTTGTAGTAATGCACATGACTGAAGACCTGCTGTGATTATCAAATTATATGTTTCAGAAAAAGATAGAATTGCCTTGCCATTGAGTATTCAATAAAACTCAGTCTTGCCCAATCATTCTTGAATTAAGGTTTCCACAGTCTATTGATATATCTGTGAACTTTTCTATAGAAAGTTTACTCCATATCTACATCAAACAAGGAATAACAATGCTGAGTGGGGAGGTTTGGGATAATTTATCAAGGTAATAGACTCCAGATGAACATCCATGTTTGAAGCTGACTGGTGAGAAGGAAGAAAGACATTGTTCCTAAATTAGCATGATATTTTAGTGAGGAAGAGCTTAGTATAAAAAAAAAAGCTCTTTTCATAATGTTCACATCTGAACTTGTCAAAAGTTACTTTTTTTCAATAGTATGTCACAGTTGTATAGATATTTTTCAGTTATTGAAGCAAGCTTACTTGGCTTTATACAATGTTCCTTGTGTTTGTACTCCTAGCTTTTGATGTTGTTGTTTTTTCTTCTACTTTTCCAGCCCTCGTATCTGTAAGCATTTCACTTCTCAATCTTATACTGTCTTTAGGCACACATTGTACAAATGTAACATACTCAGGCACAGCAACTACTTGTTCTGCTTTGTAAAAATCTCTACATTTGCTTCAGAAAAACAAGTGTTTGAGATGTAGGACCACGTGTAATGTCATTGTTCACTAAGCAGCTCCAACAGCACTTGTGCAATCTTATTATGTGACAAGATTGCCCTGTATTATGTGATTGTTGATGGCAACATGCTGACTCTGTAAACCACTTAGAGAGGGCTGTAAAGCATTATGAAGCTGTTTACAAGTCTAAATGCTATTGCTATTCAATGCTGAAATCCATCTATTATCAGTTACTCTACCTTGTAGCCAAATGGGCAAGTACATCGGTAAAAATCCACGGGATCATTGTTGCAAGTCCCATTATTTTTACAGGGAGTAGATAGGCAAGGGTTACATTTGGACACAATGCTGATGTCAACAACACCTGCAATAAAACAAGAATGCATCTGAAAAAGTTTGAAAACAATTTAAAACATTTTCAAGACATTGCTTCATATACAAGCACATTACTCAAGAGTCTTTGGTGCATGGTGCATATAAACATGTGTATATAAATACATAAATACATTCTCTTGGAAGTTTAAGTGCTGCAACTGTATTATGTATCAGCGACCTTAGTGCATTTCAAGTACAAACACTGTGCTGGAACAAAGCTAACTTGCAAAAAATACTATCTTAAGAAGGATTCATTTCATTATGCTATAAAAGCAAAATAAAATGAAAGAAATAAATGTCATCCCTTTGAGGTAGCTTGGGTCACGAAACCCTAGAAACCCCACACACTTTCCTGTTTTAAGAAAATGCTAAGGGTAAAGCTCAAGTGTTACAAAGAATTGCCGTATTTCTTTCAAAGGCATGCCTATACTCTCTTTTGAAGCATTCTGTCAAGATGAAGCTCTGACATGAAATGAAATTATTTTATCTCACTGGGGAAACGAGAACTATGTATATTACCTCTTGCTCCTGTAATGACTGAATGTGTAATAGATAAATAAACTAAAAATTAGCCAAGTAGAGAAAAAAAAATCTCACATTTCAAACATGACCACTATCAAACTTGAATGGTAAACTGATGTAAATTTCAGTAAAATTCTGAGATAAAGAATCCCCCTCACACCCAAATCTTTTCTTATGGATCACCTGGATCCTTAATATAATTGTCTTTGACAGGCATATGAGTGACTCTTTAATGATCAGTGGGCAGAAAATGGAACATCACAAATACTGGGAAGGAAAGAGGATCCTTTAATATATAGATTTAAGGGCAACAGAAATGCAAAATTAAAAGAAAGCACCATTTGTATACAGTGGTGTATTAACCGTTAAGGAGACTAAGCATGTGCTAGGGCACCAGGCCCAAAGGGAGCGCCATAAAAATTATGTAGCCTAAGCTTGGTTTCATTTGTACAGTATGTACAAAGGAGTGTGGCACCAAGATTTGTCAGTGCTTAGGGCACCAGTGAGCCTTAATCCGCCACTGTATGAATATCACAATAAAGTTTTTGGAAACATGGATTTTTTAGGCAGAAGAAAAGTATATAGCTTCTGTTTAGTTCAGAGTTTATGAGGGAAAATTAGGATTGAATAATGGCACACATTCATCACCAAGTTTTTATTCTTTACCTTCTTCAAATTTCAATTCTTTATCCTCAAAAGTAAAGCCTTTTTTAAGCCGTGTCCAATGTGTCCATGTTTTTTCCATTAGAAGTAGTGCAGTAGAAAAGTGGGTTGCAATTGCCTTCTTACACAATTTTTTTAAAAAATATTTTTTTCCAGGTCTACAGTATACTGGAATTTCCTGGTGGTCTCCTATCTAATTGCAGAGGACCAAGAATTATACCTACCTTTGCATTGGAAATGCTGAGTTGGTGTTGTTAGTAAAAGCCTGTCGGTCATGTCATCTGGACTACTACATCGTGCAATGCCAGGCTCTTTGTAGCCTGCCTTTACCCACTCTGAAAGCCAGCGCAGGCTGCAGTCGCAATGTAAAGGATTTGTACCAAGTGCTCTAAATTGGGTTTTTAAAAAAAGAGAAGGAAAAAGACATTTGTCCGATTGCATGACTCCTTTCTTTATGCTGGTACAATTAGAAGAAAATTTCTTGATTTATAAATCCAGTTCTTAATACCAGTTCTTGGTCTATGATATCTGCCAACATCCGCCAGTATTTACAGTCCCATTCTTTTTGTACTTAGAGTTGTGCAAGAATTTCAATGCATATCCTCACCTTAATGTATGGGAACTAAATGAAGGATCAGGATTATCTAAAAATGGTAATTGAAATTGGAAATAGATAGCCACAGAATAAGGAGACGAAGCAGAAGGATAGAAGATATTTTTAGCAATCTTCAATCTAGTTTCACCACTCAGGGCAGCTTGGAACAGGATCTAATGTATAACTCCAGATAAATGATGGTTAAATTTAATTTGAATATAAGTCACGTAGAGTCCCTATCTATTCCTGTAACTTTAAGAACTTATCAAGATTCTCGTCTCAAAAACTCCAAGCAACTCTGGATCAGTATCTTTTAATTTCTAGTTGGAAGCCATCATACCTTACATAAAAAGCAAATGATTCTTCTTCCTTTGCTGAAAAGACAAATTTGTGTATGGTGGTCTGATCACTGATTACAAAAATGTAAGTTAGGATAATGAAAAAAAGACTAAACATCAGAATACTCATTAATCTTTTTCCAATTTCTGTTTATTTATTCTTCACTCCACAGTCACCCATCTCTTTGTCTTAGAAAGCATGTTGCATCCAACTTTATAGAGGATATGCCACTCTAATTATTACATTATGATTGAATAATTTTCTAAACAACTTTTGGCTTTCTACAAGTAGTCCTCAACTTACAACAGTTCATTTAGTAACCATTCAAAGATACAACAGCACTGAAAAAAGTTACATATGACCTTTCTTCACAGTTACAACCCTCATGATCATGTAATCATAATTCAGCTGCTTGGCAACAGGTTCATACTTATGTTGTGTCCCAAGGTCATGTGATCACCTTTTGCAACCTTCTGAGAAGCAAAGTCAATAGGGAAGGCAGATTCACTTAACAAACAGGTTACTAACTTATCAGCTATAGTGATTCACTTAACAACTGTGGCAAGAAAGGTCATAAACTTTGTAACATGGGACATAATTCAATTAACAAATGTCTTACTTAACAATGTAAATTTTGGGCTTAATTGTGGTCATAAGTTGAGGACTATCTGTATTGCAATTTTATCCTTGCATTTTGTTCTTAAGAGTATATATTAAGTATTTAATGCATTGCTATTTTTGCAAACGAAGAGTTTAAATATCTTATTTTGTAGATAAACATAATTTCCCTGCTATGATTATGGAATAAGGAAATGATTCAAATAATTCTAAAAATATTATCACAATTATTAAAATGGTAATATTTTTAAAGAACAGATGTTTAACATAATGATTAGAAATAATTTTATTTACAGTGCTATATACTTCTACTAAGAAACAAACATCATTGAACAGTGGATGTTACTCCCAAAAGAATATGGAAATTCAGCTTTATAACAGGAACTTTTCAGAAGTTTCATTAAATTCAGTAGGGTTTATTCCAAGATGAATGGGTATGGAACCAAGATATTAATATAGTAACACTTTTTCTATCAAGTGAATCAATCCTATATCTATTAACTTCTTAAGATCAGTAAGTTTATTCCAGCAGGTGTTGAGAACCATTGTAAAGTAATTTTTACTGTGCTGAACTGGACCTGGTAAGACTCAAAATTTATATCAAGACCCAATCACAAAATTAATTGGGTGGCTTTGGCTGGAAGAAATTGAATAATTCGACCTAATTCATTGATTTGTGGTTATGTGTATAAAATGAGGGATGATTCTTTCTTAAGAATTTTAAAAGAAAGATGGACTATAATGAAATAAATACTAGGTATTATATTGGATTGATTGACATATGATGATTTTTATGTTCCTCTTTTGACTTTTTAGAAAAGTTTCTTACAACACGTAATGGTTGCAAATTTTTAGAGAAGTTGAAATATTTAAGAAATGTCCATTTCAATGGCTTTTGAACATATTTTCTAGATCCATCTTTCTGTAAAGGTTCTGTTTTAATATAAGGTTTAAGAGTTCAGAAGCCCTTGAAGTTCAAGAATAATTTTTTTAGGATAATGGTCTAAAGGTTAAGTGAGACTGCTTTTGACATTAAATGTTTTACTTAAAGCTGAGAAATTGTTCCTGTGGAGAAGAAAATATTAGTTGGATTTGGCCCCTGGAGAGAAAGTTAGAAAATTATTTACAAAAAGAATGATCAAAAGATAATTCTGGATGTTGACTTTTTCTTTACAGATAACATAAATATGTTTTAGTAAAGGAGTTGATATTAAAAATGATTTACTGAGGAAAAAAAGCAGATGGAATACTGATGGATAAAATTATAAACTAAAGTTGTTGATATAAAACCACAGACATGACTGATTAAACAAGCTTGCCCTAGACAAACTCATGCTGAGAGTTCATGAGTTGAATTACTGGCAAGAGTTCATACATTAAAATTAAATAAGAAGAACAAAGTTTCCTTAAAGGGACCTAGTTTATATCTTGTCTGTATTTTCACACAGACGAAGATTATTCAGATTGACTATATATGAGCTTAAGCTCATGTACATACAACATACAAATCTATACACTTAAGTTATCTCTAGTTTCCTATACAAATGTGTTTGAACAGCTGTTTTGGACCAATAAAAATCCAATTGGTCAACAGTATGTTACACTAATAATTTAGTCTTCAAACATCCCCCCAAAATAGGATAAAGCACCAAATAAAAAGAGGAATATCAGTTCCATCATTTTAATTTCATGTCCTTTCTTCCATTGCTAGCACCTTTTTTCAATTGACAGTGTGACTGCATTATCTGCTTTGCTCTTTCACTTGTTTTAAACTTGTAGATTTAAATGTTATTGTTAACCAACAAGAGAATGACATTTATTGAGAGCAGGGCACATAAAATTGATAATAAATTGTGTTTATTTTCTCAGGTTATTCCAAAAATATCATTGAAAAGACAAAAAAAAAACCTAGACTTTTTCCATGGCTGTTACATAACACAAAATAACATTTTTAAGATAATAAAGCAACCTTAAAAATAATTGAATAATAAAATAAATAGTTGAGGAGGAAATGGAAATGAGCCATACCAGAGAAAATAATGGACAAGCCATTTTTCTTCAACACAATCATTTTCATTAGTTATTGTATGCATTGTTGTAAGCTTTTTGAAATAGAATCCTAAGATGTAATTTAAAATATGTAAATATTGTTCTTGCTGGCCACTGCACACTATCTAGAAGTTGATAACACCTACAATGTACAAATATTGTCTCCATCCAAAAGCTTTAATCAAAGTGCACCATGATTTTGAATCCTAAATTGCAAATAAAATTGTCTCAATTAGTTCAATAGTGGTATGCACATCTTTTTATTGTACTGATTGTAATGGCAGAATGTTTGAATATGTTGAAAAAGTTGAATTCATATTCATCTCATTTTGTAAAATTCCATGGAAGAGTTGGAGCTTTCTCCTGATCAAGAACACTGACAGCTATAACATATTTGAAGGCAGTTACTTTTGTTTGGGTAGAATATATTAATTATATGGCCAAGGCTCGGTGTTATAACTATATATAGAAATATAATATAAAGGATATTTTAAAATTAACTAAATTTAAAGCACACAGATCAGGATAGGTAAGATAGGATGAAGTTGAATTTATGAATCACAATCAGTCATGATGTACCCCAAATTTTTAAGGATTGTAGTGTTTTACAAACATAAATACATTTGAACTGGGGGAACTTTACCTACTTGATTGTTTCCATTTTGCAAGGTTCCAATTGATGTAGTCTAAATATTACATACTATTTTCAAACATCAGTAGGTAGTAATAAGGTCATAATATTCATTTATAAGGAGATATAATAATACTTAGCATGTCATCAAAACATTCTGTAAACAATATATGTGATTGCCGTTGGCAGCCAAGATAATTAATGGACTCAGAATTTATTATTTCACAAGAAAATACCATACTTTTACATTTACTGTATGCAGTGATGCAGAACGAATGAAGAAGGATGAATGACTGTCAAGTGACATATTAGTGGCTGAGATTACAGAAACCTTATGAAAATTGGAAAAAAAAATCTCGTAAGACTATTTTTCTTTGTTCCTGGCTTCTCTATTGGACAATTCTTTCTTTGCAGAACAGTTTCTTGAAGATCATTTATAGCTGGTAACTGCTATTGTAATAATTATAATGAAAATTATTATATAATCCTCCAAATGGAACAGTGTGTTTATCCAATAAGATTTACTTCAAAATCCTATTTACAGTAGGTTTGTATGTTACTTTTGCTGATAAGAATAAACTAAGCTGTTAAAAACCAAAGAAGAAGATAGAGGGGCAAATTGCAGCTACAAAGCTTAGGTACCTTTGGAAAGTAGGCTGAACTTCTACCAGGGAATAGCTACTGGCCTGGTCTCTTTCCATTCATTTCCTGACCTGCCACTTGTGTCCCTCATCTTATTTTATCCAATGCTGTTTTGCTTTGTTCCTCCTTTATCTTATTGTATCCATCCTGTATTTTTATTTTTTGCAGTTTCTCTAAAAGGAGATTTAACAGTAGATATGTGTGGTACTTTTGTGTTCCATATCCGGTAGTTTTTGTGTTGAGAGGTTTTTTAAGGTTTTTTTTACAGGCTATTATTTTAATCAGTAGTTATGAATTCACCTAGTCGAGAGGCATAAATATGTAAACACAAACATATATTAATTGCCTTTATTTAAGTGAATGTGACAAATTATGTTTATTTTTAGTAGAATTTAAACTGACTAGAAATTGTTTTGACTTTATAATGCCATTAAACATGACCGTTAATAAAGCATTATCATGTTCATTAGTAAGTATCGTACTGCACAAATAATATATATTCATTTTAAAAAATAGATGCTATTTGAGCAATGGACACATTTAAAAAAGGTTGAAATATTTATAAATTTATATATGTATTTTAATTCCTTTCCATGATGACTATGAGGTTAAAAGTGAATGCAAATATAATATAGGCTAACACTAATTCCTTATTGAGCTTATGTTATTTGGAAAACTGCTTCAGAATGCCATTCTTCCCAAAATACCCTGATACAGCAAATGGAAAATATAGGAATCTAAATGGGGTGTGAAGAAACTATAATATAACATGGTTCATAAAGCATAATCGTGATGGTATCTTTCCAGCAACTGTATGTCCCTAGATGGCTTTTAACTTGTCTTTTTTTTCTTTTTTCTTTTTTTAGCAATGTCAATTCTCTTTGGAATGAAGAAGTGGAGACCAATCCTATTTAAATAGGTGAAAAATATTCTGGAAAGTTAAGGACCAGGTCTACTACTGAACACATTAAGAACCAATAGCATGTGCCTGCTTGATCATTTATCCATAGATTTTTCACCATTTAGGTTAAAATAAGTTTTTTATATTTTGCTGAAAATTTGCTTTGGAGTCTAACTTTGATATAAATAGACTTAACAAATGATCTATTTTCTCTTTGATAATAAAGGTTTCAAAAGGTAAGTTTTTTTCACATTTGCTTGGAAAATAGAAATTATCTAAATAAAATACATATAACAATAATTGTAGCATGAGGTAAAAATTTTCCATAGCAATCTCCCATTTCTACAGAGTTAATAATCTTTTGACAATAACAATACTTACAGGTGAGAAAGTGACACCAGATCATTAAAAGACCCTTCAGGGACACTGGATATATCATTGCCATGAAGCGTTCTGGGAGAAGAAAGAGTAGTATTATGTTTGAATACAGTTACAATATAAAAAGAGTTTAAGTTAGCTTTTAGTATCTATTGACTAAATAAGAAGCAATATAGTTCATGTTCCCCACTATTTTGTCCAGGAAAGATTTTACAAGAAAGCATTGCATCGCAATGCTGCCGAGGTGCTTCTGACACAAGTGCAATGCGATGCAACCAAGGTGCTTCTGGGTTGAAAATATTAGCTGGTGACATCACCATTGCCCAGTAATGCCTGTTGGGTTCATGTCTCTGGAAGGACCTGGAGCGAAAGACAAGGGCTCACCCACCCATGGCAGCACTTGGGTTTCGGACACAGGCTTGTTAACTTCCAACCCAGCATCCTAACCATGAAAGCCACCATACAATCTTTGCATAAAGATTTGGAAATGAAGGAAACAGGCTCTTTACAGACACTTTTATATCTTTCTTTAATAAAAAAGGAGTAGTTTATTTATTTATAGCTTTTTAATTTTTGCGTGTGTGCCTTTGACTCAATCTTAATGGAAATGGTTTGCTATTGCTTGTCTTAGTGAGAGTGGAGGTCACTGAACTAATTTCATGCTTAAAGTGGGACTGGCACATACAGACACACCAATTCTATCCTAGTACCTTAATCAATAGACCAAAATGGCTCCCTTAATAAAGAGTACCAGTGACTTTTTCAAAGAAAAAAAAATAAACATAATTGAATCTGAATAAGCAATTTAGAATAATTAGACAATATGACAACATTCTGATAAGTTATTCAATCCTTGATCTAGACAAATAGGAAATATTAATTTTTTTCTTTTATTATTTTCTGAAACAAATGTAATAGAGAAAATTGACAGTGACAGCATTTTGTCAACATCTACTATTCTTTCTAACAATACAGTGCTACATAGATCAGACTACTTAGAAAAATTACAGTAAAAGTAAAAAAAGCTCACTGCTTTTTGACCATATCCTTTCCTATGTGATTTTGACTCTCTAGAGGAGATTCATTTTAAAAATTTGTACGTATTATGTCTGTATAACTGCTGGATTTGACAAAAATGATTCCAGAGGGTTTAGAATATAAACAATGAAATACACTATTTTCTTACTAATATTGTATTACTTTTCTCACTGTTGAACTGCAAGCCTATACTTTGTGATTTTTATGAAATTCTAAAATAAATAGTGAAATCCTTGAAAAACTGAACTTGGGAATTGAACTTGAACTATTGGAAAGGGAACCAAAAATAAATCTGCAAAATACTGTCACACACTGAATCACAAAATTTGTGTTTAATAAGGACATAGAAGCAATTTCATCATTTTTATAATTATGCATATTTTACATGGGTTTTCTGGCAGTTCTATATCTTTTGGTGCTTGGTTTGAAAAATATCCTAATCTATGCATTAAAAAACCACCTTAAAACATGGTGTGTAAAGATATGCTAATAGAAATTAAGACTTTGAGTTACTGAAACAAGGTATATGTTATGACACTGATTATTATGTTTGGTAGCCAGAGACATATTGTGACTGATAGGATAATTTTCCTATTTAATAGTAATAGGGGAAATTTCCCAGGAAGAAAAGCAATTAGAGAAGGGGCTCATGCATAAAAGGGATTTGTTAACTGCACATCAAACCTAGACAGATTTCAAGCTATGTGTCCTTTAAAAAAAAAAAAGGTGCAAAAACTTGGATACGCTTTTGCTGATTATTTCTAACAGAGGTTCCCTTGGGAATTTTGATAATAAATAAATGACAGTAACAGATTGCATGCTGTCGCTTGGAAACACTTCCTCCCCCAGGAGAATTGATTTTTAATAACAATGTAGATGACATGTGGCAAGGGTTGTAGCTGACACTAGAATTTTGTAGACCATAATAAATCAAATGAAACTGGAGGCTTCCAAATACACACAACCCAGAAAGAGAGACTCTCATTCATGCTTCATTTAACTTTTGCACAGAAATGTAAGAGTGGCGTATTATTTTTCTCTGAGCAAATACCTATTTCAAAATATGATTAAGTAGATCTTCTAAATAAATAGAGGTCGCAAATGGATTTATAAAACAGATATGTTGTTGCCTTTGAGAATAAAGCTAATTTAGGTTTGCTTGCAATTTAAATAAAAACACATATGGATCAGTCACAAAATATGAAACCAATGCTTTCTTGAAGTTCTTATGTAATGGGTTAAAATATATTATGAAATTAACATTTGTGTATTATTCAAACAGCACCATCAACTGGAATATTATGCACTATGTTCAGCTACAAACAAATAGGCTGCCACTTAACTACCCTTTTCTATATTATTCATACAGTATATAGCCCTAAACATGCAACATGTTTAAAAGTTTGTGAACTCATTTTAATTTTCAGCATTTCAGCATCTGAGTAAGTATGAGCTAAAACATGAACTGTTTCTCATAAATAGATAAAAGAAAACCCAATTAAAAATGAGTCAAAAACGTGCTTATTCATTCACTTATAGAAGATAATGACCCAAAGCTCCATATATGTGTATAGTAAAAATGCATGAGCCTATGGATCTAAGTAACTGCTATGAAACAATACCTGCAAATAAAAGTTGCAATTTAGTTGAACAGCAATTACTACAATTGGTGGGCAGGAACAACTGCCATTAAACATTTCTAATAATAGTTGATTAATCTTACACATCAGCTTAGAGGAATTTTAATTCATTCCTCTTTATAGAACAGCTTCAACTCAGAGATATTGGTGGATTTTCTCACATGAGCTTCAGGTTGTCGCACAACAGGTCAGGACTTTGACTTGATCATTCCAAAACATTAACTTTCTTCTGCTTAATCATTCTTTTGTTGTACAATTTCATGTCTTGCTGCATGACCCACTTCTTCTGGCACTACAATTCACAGATATGTACTTAATATTCTCCTGTTGACTTTGCTAGTACAATTCAGAATTCATAGTTCCATCAGTGTTGACAAGCTGTCCTGTTCCTCTCCCTTCATTCCCACTCCTTGCCCCATTTCTGGGCTTATCACAAGAGAGTAAAAAGAAAGGAAAGTGCTCAGAACTTCTCAAGACCTTTCCCTGGATTTGCTCAGCTGATCATAGACTGCTATGGACCAGGGGAGACATGATAGCAGTCTTCTAATATTTGAGGGGCTGCCACAGGGAGGAAGGGGTCAAGCTATTTTCTAAAGCGCCTGTAGGCCAGACAAGGAATAATGGATGGAAACTGAACAAGGAGAGATTTAACCTGGAAATAAGGAGAAACTTTCTGACAGTGAGAACAATCAACCAATGGAACAGCTTGCCCTCGGAAGTTGTGGGACCGCCATCAGTTGAGACTTTTAAGGAGAGATTGGATTGCCATTTGTCAGAAATGGTGTAGGGTCTCCCGCTTGGGCGGGGGTGGACTAGCCAACTCTGATGATCTGTTATCTGCTTCTCCACTGTTGGGGGAACAACCTGTCTTGGTGTCTTCTGCCCAATCCTTCTCCAAATCCTTCAGCTTTGTCAAAGGCAGTTTCTCCCTCCTTCCCATCTTGGACCTGGGGTGAAGATGTTATCTCTCTAGAGCTTTACTTCTCTTCCTCTAGGGAAGCTACTCAGGGACTTTTTTCTCTGATCAGGAACTTAAATACATTAACAATACTATGCTTTCTAATTTTTATCTTCAATCACTCTGTTTTTACACAGTATTTTTTTCTCTCCCAATTTTCTCTCCTCTGTCTGTTTGTATCTCATTTTTAATCAGACTGGCAACATTTCCCCAGCAACTGAGGAGGTGGGGAGCCTGATCAGAGCTCTAGTCCCCAGTACAAGTCTGGATCAATAGAAATGCTGTCTATCCCTCTCCACAACAGCCCTGTCTAGAAGCTATGTCAGCTCATCAGCCCTTGGGACACCAGAGCTGCACTTCAAGGCTAGAATTGTAGTTCTTCCTTTTCTCTCTCCATGACACATGCCAGCACAACTGCAGTCAGAGTAGTAAAGAGTACTAAAAACCGTATGCCATAGCCTAAAGTGTTAATTGTAATGGTATGTGAGAATGATCTTAGGAAATTGGGCCCAGAGACCCTGCTTAGGGAAAAGTCTAATAAAAGAAAGCATAGTCTGCAACTAGATTGTTCAGAAGAGACCCTTCCCAATTTCTTGAGATGCAAAGAAGACACAGAGAATTATACTTTCAGACCTGCATATTTCTGTTAATGTAGCCTTATATTAAAATAGAATTAGTTCATTGTCTTTGTTTCTGTCTGATCTATCTGGCAGGGTTGATACTAAACAAGGAGGTACAATGATGAAGCAAACATGGACTTCATCCTAAGTAATGCTTATGATTTTTCATAAAAAGTAAGTATAAATGAATCACTCAAGAGAATTATTAAATACCATTACATTCAATATTCTCAAAAAGAAACATTTGACAAAATGTCTACTATAGTTACATTAAAGAAAAAACAAAAACAAAAGTTGGAAAAATGGGTGAAGTATACGTAAAAAAAAAATGGAAGAGATCAAACTTCTCCCAAAGTCTTGGATATGATTAAATTCACACAGAATCCCAATTAGAATTTTAGCTTAAAGCATGGAATGATACGCTAAATCCAAGAATATGTCGAAGTGATTAATGAGCAAGTTACAACTGAGAAGGCTTCCTTCAAGAATATGTCTTAGTCAAATAGGTTAGCCTATATTTTAACAGCAGCCTTTTAAAAAAAGAAAGAATTCCAAAATGAAAAATCATCTTAAGGCATTAAATCACGAACAAAACATTAACATCTGAACTCACATTTATAGGCTACTTTACATCTTGATACAAATAGAAAAGTGCAAATGACTAGAAATGGCTGCAAAACAGAGAATCAGGGGAAAGCACTGATTTTAACAATTTTGATGTCACTTTTTAAAATTTAATTCCAGAACAGTGAATGAGCAATACTTACAACACTCGGAGAGATTTAAGGCCATTAAATGCATGAACTGGAATACACCGTAACCTGTTGTAGCTTAGGATCCTAAGGGAATAAAAGATCACAGCTTATAATACTTTGCAACAAGCAACTGGAGCAGGAGCAGAGAAGAATACATTAACAAAGAAAAATTAAATACTTGCTACTTAATGGAACTTACTTTACAATAAATATTAATTAGAACCTATGTCAGAATCACTGGGTACTTACAGAGTTGATAGCTGTGTCATATTACTGAAGGTATAATTGGCCAACATGCTGATACTATTGTTGCTCAAGTCACTGAAAAAAGATATACAAAATATTCACTAATGCAATGAAAAATACACATATTTCATTGATGCAATGAAAACAGAACTTTTCTTAAATTCAGAGCAAAACCAAAAAGCATAAACAAGTTATTACCAACTAAGATTATTCTTGGGGATTATAATTACATACTTTTAAAAAATATTTCTTAAGATTTACTGATTACACTAAGGCAAACAGCTTTTAGGAAAATTCATAAAAGCACAAATAAAATCAGAAAGATTTATTTTTAAAAAATTAAAAAGAGAGTTTAAAATATAATATCAAGCCATTTTACAATCTAGAACCAACAAGGCATAAAAACAGAAACGATAGTGGACAAGAAGTAAAAATTGTGACAAGTGGATACTTCAAACTTTTCCAGGGAAGGCACTAAATAGTAGAGATGCTACTTATGCTTGTAAATACTGTGGTATCACTCGTTGTACAAACTCTTTGTATTTAAAGTAGACTTCTATTAATTAAGTTTGCGATAAATTCCCTCTGTATCTTGATTATATAAAGACACAAAAAGAATTATATAAAAGAAATGCTCTCTATTATAGCTGGCACACTGGCTAGATAGGGTAACCACCCAGCTATAAAATAATAAAACACTGCCATGTAAAACTTTTTAAGATAATGGGATAAATACATTAGTATTAAAACTCATGTATTTAATGACATTCATGAAACTCCTGTGTTTAATGACATTCATGAAATAATTTAAATATTTTTTTTATTTTTGTAAAATTTAAACCTAAATTGGAATTTAAAATAAAATCATATATATTTGAATAACACACAACATTGAACACTAGAAGTAAGCAAGATCTACCAATGATTGTTTCTACCAAAATTGAGGTATTATGCTTGCTTTCTACTTATATGTGATAAATAGATTGGTCCCAAAAAAATTGAATTGTATTAAAAAATCTTAAAGTAGTAATTTACTGATTATCTCTTTTAAAAGTGTGTGTGTGTCTTTGTGTCTGTGTGTACACTGCATTTCCATAAAAAATAAATCTCACAATACAAGCAATGTTTTTGTGTCTTCTCAAACATTTACTTATTTATTATTTTTATTTATTTATTTTTGTCAATTGCTTGCAAGATAATAGGTATAAGTAAAAACATAGTTATGAATTCATGGATACATATAAGAAAAATAATAAAAAAAGAAACAATAGGACAGGACCGTAGGCACGTTGGTGCGCTTATGCACACCCCCTACAGACCTCTTAGGAAAGGGGTGAGGTCAATAGTAGAAAGTCTAAGGTTAAAGTTTTTGGGGTTTGGGGAAGAAACCACAGAGTCAAGTAGAGTATTCCAGACATTGACCACTCTGTTGCTGAAGTCTCCTGCAATCAAGTTTGGTGCAATTAACCTTGAGTTTGTATCTATTGTTTGCTCTTGTGTTGTTATGGTTGAAGCTAAAGTATTCATTGACAGGTAGGATATTGCAATGTATGATTTTATATACTATACTTAGATGGGACCAAAGGCGGTGTAGTTCTAGGTTTTCTAGGTCTAGAATTTCAAGTCTGGTGGCATAAGGTATTCTGCAATGAGTAGAGGAGTGGAGAACTCTTCTTGTGAAATATTTTTGGACTTTCTCAACTGTGTTAATATCAGATACGTAATGTGGGTTCCAGACTGATGAGCTGTATTTGAGTATTGGTCTAGCAAATGTTTTGTATGCTCTGGTTAGTAGTGTGATATTACCGGAGAAAAAGCTACGTAAGATTAGGTTAACAACTCTTAACGTCTTTTTGGCTATGTAGTTACAGTGGGCTCTAACACTTAGGTCTTTAGAGATGAGTACTCCAAGATCCTTGACAGAGTTTGGATCATTAACAAGGTCTATTCAGGCTGACTATTCAGCCTGTATTTTATTTTCTGATTTTTTTTTTGCCAATATGTAGGACAGAGCATTTATTTGTTGAGATTTGAAGTTGCCATTTGCTTGACCATTCTGATACATAGTCGAGGTCTTTTTGAAGGGTAGCAGTATTGTCTGTGGTGTTGAATAGCTTTACATCATCAGCGAAGAGAACGCAGTTGCTCTTGATATGATCACAGAGGTCATTTATGTAGACTATGAAAAGAGTTGGTCCTAGAACACTGCCTTGGGGGACACCACTGTTGACAGGCACAGAATTTGATAGGACGCTCCCAATTTTGACCATTTGTTGTCTGTTTGACAGGAATGCTTCTATCCAGTTATGCACCAGAGATACCGTAAGATTTTAGTTTTAGGAGTAGTTTGTCATGTACCACTGAATCAAAGGCTTTACAGAAGTCTATGTAGATTGCGTCTATTGCTTTGCCCTGATCGAGTTGTTTGGTCCATATGTTTTTGCAGTGTAAGAGTTGCAGATTACAGGATAGTTTTTTCTGAAACCAAATTGTTTATTAGAGAGTAGGTTGATGTTTCTAAGTGGAGGATGATGGATTGGTTAATAATTGATTCCATGACTTTACAGGTGACGCAGCATAGAGATTGGTCTGTAATTTTCAACTAGGCTGGGGTCTCCCTTTTTGAAGATGGGGATGACCGTGGCTTGTGACCATAGTTTTGGCAAGGATCTGGTCCTGAAAGATTTTTCAAAGATTATGCTTAGAGGTTCGGCTGTGGCAGTGGATAGCTTTTTTAAGAAGTAGGCACATATTCCGTCTGGTCCAATAGATAGAGATGGTTTTAGATTGCTGATTGTTGTTTTTCAACATCGATATGTATTAGATCATTGTAGTTGTCTGTGGTTCGACTAGGAAATACTGGGCTTGATCCTTTGCTGTTTACAAATACTGAGCCAAAGAATGAGTTAAAGAGGTTGGCTTTAATAGTGTTGTCATTGCAGTCTTTACCATTAGGTCCTTTCAGGGGTGGGATGGACCTTGAGTCTTTTAGTTTGTTGTTTACAAAATTGTAGAAAGCGCGGGTGGAATTGGTGCGTAGAAGGTTTTCTTCTTGTTTAATGTGATAATTGGTGCATTCAGTTTTTATCTGGTGGCAAAAAAATTTGTATCGGCTTTTGAAGTTGGCAACGTGACCAGATCTGTTTTTCTGCCAAAGTGATTTCTTTTTGGATTGAAGCTTCCTTATAGTTTTGAATAATTTGTTTTTTTCTGGTTTTGGGAGTTGTTAATGGTACATATAGTTTGATGACTCTTTTGACTTCAAGTAAAAATATGTTGTAATGGTCTTCTACAGTATTGCATTGTATGAAGCTACAGTATCTGTCAATCAAGCTATAATTGCACTGCAACACCCAATGCCACAACATTTGTGTATTCCTATATTGTTGCTGACATGAAATGTTGATATACTTACATTAATGTCAAGTGTCGGAACATAGAAAGTTCTTTTGGCACAGCAGATAAATGGTTCCCTTCCAGGTATCTGAAAATCAGTTATATTTGATAAACAGTTAAGAATATTCATTGGTTCTTCACATAAAGAAAAACAAAACAAGATGAATTATTACAGTTGACTTCAAGCATGTCAGAAAGATTTAATTGCAAACTTTAATATAAATTTCATCAATAAAAATGAAAAAAAAAGAGGTAGACTATTCATTTAAAGGTTTGGACTAGGATCTTCAGCCAAAGAAATTTACAAGGTCCCTTTGGGCCTGCTTTCATAATTGTGCACAACCTATACTGTTGTTGAAATGAATTGCTGTTTGATAGTAGAATGAATTATTCAATAGATGATAGGTTCCCAAAATTCATGTGGTGGGGCAGGATTAAAGAAGCAAAAACCACACAGATTTCTGTAATATTTGGAAATGAACCAGAATTTACCACTTTTATTAATACTGAATTAATTAAGGTGGAGTCTTTTTTAAGATATTGAGATGGCTTTTTTCCCCTCAGATTTTTCCCTACCTGAAGTGTGTTGCTATTTATCAAATCAAATCAAATCAAATCAAATCAAATCAAATCAAATCTTTATTACAATTGAAGACCAGCATCGCTGCTTATAAGCTAAATTGTCCACTGACTTGCCAGCTATTTCTTCCATTCCCTTGCTTCAACTTCATACACAGATTCTCCTTCACTATATATTGATATAGAGGCTGGATAATCTGTTGAGAGTGCTTTGATTTGGAACATGGAACTGAATTTGATCTCCTTCCTTTCTATGGCCTTTTGATTCTTCCTATGGTTCTTCCTATGGGCTTTTGTTGAAACTGATCATTAAATAAATTTGTTAGTCATTATTCCTCCCCTTTATCTTATTCAGTGAGAATATTAAGAAGCAAAATGCATTGCAACACAAAAGAAATACATAAATGTGCATGTACGCATACAAACACTGTCTGTCTCTCTGTCTTTGTCTCTGTCTCTGTCTCTGTCTCTGTCTCTGTCTCTGTCTCTGTCTCTGTCTGTCTGTCTGTCTGTCTGTCTGTCTGTCTGTCTGTCTGTCTGTCTCTCTCTCTCTCTCTCTCTCTCTCTCTCTGTCTTTCACACATACACATACACATAGATTAACATATTAGACACTTCTTTTCCAAAGGGACCATGTATCTTCTTGAATTTAAGAAAAAGAACAAAACAAGCAGCATCAATTTGAATTCACATTAATATAGTTTTGCATGTGTCAGGTTGGTGACATAGTCTCCTGACTCTCCTTCTGCCTCTTTTCTAAATGTATGGGCTCATAGGAAAATGCTGGTGTTCTTTTGTTATGTTCTTTGTTTTAGACAGCAGACTATGAAGATCAGATGCATCTTTTACAAAACAATTGGGGGAAAAATCCTCACTCCAGTAGTTCTCTCAGAGATCATATTAACAAAGGGACTGGGGAGGGGAACTCACACATGTCCTTGCTGTAAGGTTGTGCTTAATTAAAGCTACTAAAAAGAACTCCAAATGCTAATTGACCTCATTAGAATTATTCTTGCCCTCTGACTGCAAATTGCTCAGGCAAGCAATATTTCAATAACACATCAGAAGCTGACTCGGTCTAGCTGCACTAATCCATACAACCATTTACTTTAACTGCTTAGTGAAAACATAAAATGAATATGCAGCATCTGATATAACGGAGGCAACATTATTTAAGATGTAAATGCTAAGTCAGAGCTCACCCAGGCTGTGTATTCATTCCACAAAATAAATTATCATAAAAAATTCCCTCAAAAGGCTTATGGAGGAAAACACAATTTACATTTTCATGTGACAATACACCCGACTTAACAATGTTGAATCCTCATCCTTTAACATGTTTGAGAAATGCCAAAACATGCACCAAACTATTCCACAGTTAAGCTTGTTCGTGTTGATCTACTGCCTCTTCAGTCACATTTTAAAATTTGAATATGGCATCTTTTCTTTTCATGACCACAATTAGTAATTATGGAAGCGAGAAATGATGCTTATGAACCTCTTGGATTTGGCTCAGTGATAGCACTTCTAAGCCAATGCCCTGATTCGAAAGTTATGATCTAACTGTTAGTTATGCCAGAATGCATACTGGAAAGTACATTAATGCATATCCCATTAAGAGCACTATAATTCAGAATTGCATCCAGATATACTTTCCAACATCTCTTAATTTACTGTATGGAACTGGGAATGTTTCATTAAAAGAAAGCAGCACAGAAAAGTAGAAAATAATATCTTGGGAAGTTAGGATAGAATAGAATAACTGAATTGGAAGGGACCTTGGAGGTCTTCTAGTCCAACCCCCTGCTCAGGTAGGAAACCCTATACCATTTCAGATAAATGGTTGTCCAATCTCTTCTTAAAAACTTCCAGTGTTGGAGCATTCACAATTATTAATGGAATTATTAATTGGATACAAGTTGAACTGAACAGTTTGGACAAAAACACAAGATAACTCTTGACTATTCACTCTTGACTATTCATTACATCCCCATAGTGATATTGAAAAAGTATACCTGCCCTGCAATAATGGAGTCAAAGGTTTTAAAAGTATACATTGACTGATGATATGAAAGACAGCCAAGAATAAGCACTGATGCAAATTAAAAATTGGAACTTACCAAATATACAGGAAAGAAAGTATGAATATCAAAATAATGTAATAAAAAACACGAACAGAATGCTGGCAAGGATAAGTATTACATAGTCAATTTCTACAAAAGATTGATGGGAAATGGAGAAAGAAAAAAAATCCTGGCAATGCCTTACAACTGGAACATTAAAAAAAGAAACTGATTTTAATGCTCAAGAAAACCCTTTTTGAACTAATGCAATCAAGGTCAGAATTGAAAAATCATCAAATGGTTCAAAGTGCAGGTTGTACAAAGAAGAGGAAAAGAGCTGAGACCATATACTCAGCTCTACGAGCACATCACACAAATTGGTTATAAACAACAACATAACACAGCCACCAAAATAATTTACTGGAATATCTGTAAAAATTATCATGTGCCAGTAATGAAAAATCAGTGGGAACATAGAACTGAAAAAGTAGTTGAGAATGAGCAGGTTAAAATACAACCTGGATTGTTGTAATTTACTGATGTCACATGAAAGCATGCTTTCTGACTACATTACTTAGCAAGAGCATTCCCTTTCCCAGTGATCTGTTTAATTCAAGGAATACTTGTAATAATTTAATGCAACAAATGGATGTAACAATTCAGTATTACAAAATAAGCCACAAGGTATATTCATATCATTATCTAATTTCTAAATGAGATGATACTGCATTATGTGCCTAAAACAATGGAGCACTGAATCCTGAATCCACCATAATTCTATTGAAGAACTAATCTTGGTGCTAGGAGTCACTTGGCTTAGGAAGCTAAATGGTTGGAAGTTATGGAGCCAAATGGAAAGAAATTATAGCAGGAAGTAATCATGTTGTTAAAAATAAACAGTACTTAAAACATGGAAATAAAATATGGAGAGAACAAACTATTCCGCAGTGAGGATGATAAGCAGTACTAAAGTATTCTCAGGGGTCTGTTTTGTGGAAATTATATTTTTTGTACATATTTAATTGATATTTGAGTAGAACGATGAATGATCCAGGATCAAGTTTCATAATTAGCTCATTTTTATTCTGTTTTCAGTATCACTCTCTACTTCAGCTGATTATATACTGAGCTATAAAGCCTAGAGCAACAAACTGAGAGAAGATAATATAGTAAGGAATTAGATAATAGAAGATGCTAAGAAAAACCCTTCATTGTCAGAGGAAAAGATAGGAAAGCTGACCTTTCCTGAAAATTTCTGAATTTTTAATGTGAAGAATATTTAAAGAGATTACATTTAGAACAAACATGGGAAAATATCAATTACTAAATAGTGTTAACTGAGGAAAGAGAACTAAATTATTTCTGAATTTTCATTTGCAGCAATATCTAAAGCACTACATTTTGCCAATGTTATTATTCCTCTATAGTAGCCGTATATTTATTAGACTGTGTATAGCCAGCCTCTAGGATTGGCAGGTAAAATAGAATTATGCAGGTAAACAGTGTGAGGAACAGGTGGATGGATAACTTTTGTGAAAATGGAAAACATGTTTCCCCAGAAAAGCAAAATGAACATATTATATCCAATGTGGTTTTCTGGACCTTTAGTTTCTTTACTCCTCTCCTTTCCCTCTCACAGCATACCTTTTTGATAACTATCTGGCCACCTAGGTAGATTGAATTTGAAAAGAATTAAGACAAGGAAACTAAATCGGGAATTACAGAGTATATCCTGGTATTTGTACCAAGATTTGAGAGCTACTTGCAGATTTTATAACTAAGTTTAAATCAGGAAATTCACCATCATTTCAGGGGGAGGAGGAGAGGGAGAAAAAGTGTATAATTACCAAGAAAATGATTCCAAAGCTGTGAATTCCACAGGAGCTGCATAATAAGCATTAAATTAATTAAGATGTGATGCTGTTTGACTCTCAACCTCCGAGTGCTCACAATACACTAAGAAACAAGAAATAACTAACAACAAAATCATACTAGGAGGTGATGAATCCAGCAGACAACCAAAGTATTCCACCTTATATCTAAGATTGAATGGAGAGATCTCCAACTACTATAGTCCAGGAGGACAGCTAAGTTTTTAGAGCTTTCAGAAGAGCAAGGGAGCCAATGGATCTCAGTACTCATGGATATGGTAGAAGATTCTACTCTGCAGCCAGAATTATCTATTATGTAATCTTCTGTATTTAGAATAGTAAAGAAAAAAATATTTTTGTTTCAGATGTTAAATAACTTGAATTCCTTCAGTTTCATATCTTACAATAGACAGCTTCCATGACCAGTGGAAAATAATCAAATATTTAGTAGATACTTGTTGTTTCACTTATCTTCTTTTGGGGCAAAATTAAAATATCTTTTTGGAGAATCTCATTTTAAATCAAGGGTTTGAAGAAGATGTTGCAAACATATCAATATATTATAGATTTATTTT